TGAGATGGTGCTGTGTACGATGTCGCCCGCCCGCTTGACTGCGTTGCTGTTGCTGGTGCCCATGGCCATGGCCACGTGCCCATGCCCGCCTGTGCTCCAGTCCTCCAAAGTGTGCGGGTCCAACTCTGTAACATACGACAGCCAGTGTGCCCTGGACTGCGCCGCTGTGCAACAGCCCGGTTAGTACAGTATTCACCTTCGTTAAGTCATAACTCCTGTGTTCTTTGTTTTTGGTTCTGCCTGAATTAGAATGTTACAAGATTTGTCAAGAAAAAAACGTTAACAATTCTTGTTAACTATGGAATGAACCCATGGTTAGGGAAATTTAGCCGCTTCAGGTGTTATGGGAACTTTAAAGGCACGCATACTGTGAAAACGAGCCCTGGGATTCCCAGGAGTTGTCATTTTCCAAGGGAGTTGAAAGTGTCCCAGGGGTTGCCCTGGCAATGTGCAATTTTCCCTGGGGATTTGATGGGTTTGCCAGTAGATCTCCTGGGAGTAATTGCTTGTTTCCATGGCATCCATTCAATGGGGTTCGACCTGTTGAACGATCACGCTCCCCCCCCCCCCCCCACCTCTCTGGTAGAAACGGGTTCGTTTATAAATTGTAGATGCTATTTAATTTGCACAAGGTTTAGGGGAATTTGTTCTTTGTTATGACTAAACATTTTGGTTAGTCTTAAAACTTTCCACTATCACAAATAACTTCGCAATGAAGAACATATTCCAAAATGCTCTGTGAAAATTTATAGGAATATTTGACAGCAATGTTTGAGGAAAATATGAGCCTCGCGTAGGTTAATTAGTTTGTGAGATGTCTTACGCGCTCTTGTAAGCTAAAGAATCTTACAAGGGGACCGCGTGCACGCTCAGTTCAAATTTCCAATCTTGCCCACACTTAGTATATTTGTTTCTTAACTATATTTATGACGACTGTCGGTAGAATTTTTTAATAAGTGTCAGTTTCTAGGGTACTTTAGGGGAGCAAATAATGGAAAAAATATTGAATTTGGGCCAAAACAGACGGAAGATCTCACATCGAAAAGTGGTAGTGGAACTACCCCCCCCCCCCAAAAAAAAAAGCACTCCATTTTGAGTCAGAATATCACTAAATATTTGTACAAAAGAAGGAATTTGTCTTTTTCTTAATTATAGGCCTACGCTTTTATAGGCTTATAGGAAGTTTCAGCATATGACACTCAGAAAAAAAAATTGGTCGGAATTCCTCACCTACATAGACTAGCTATATGTACGCCAGACCACGTCTCGCGTAACAGGCTTCGCGATATATCACGAAACACTGTTACGCTGCGACGCGCCTGGCGCACATTTAGCTAGGCCTGCGGCGCTGACACCCCAGACGAGTTAAATTTTACGATTTAATAGA